TAAAGGCTTGTTGTTTGAATTAGAACGATTCAACAAATGTAAATTTTAAGCCCACTCAGTTGAGTGGCAAATCATGTTTTAAGCCCATTATGTTTGGTGGAAAATCCACATCTTTAAGCCCACCTGAGGGTGGCAAATTCAAACCATTTTTACAAACAAACATGAGTTGAGTTGTTCCAAGTCTTGCAAACTAGTCTATACTTGCTTGTGCGCATCACATAGTAAAGCTAGTTTAATAATTAGAACAAGAACACATAATGTTTATAAAATAACATATCATGATTAGTAGAGGCCGATCTTTGATCGGGCGAATGGGGGTGCTCATTTCAGGACCTTCCGCTCTCGTACCTAAGTTTCCGAGCTGAGGCAAGTTTGGTGATGACGGACACATGGCCTTTGGCACGAGTCAGGGTTTCTTAAATTTTTCCAAAATAAAATATTTAGGTGGCGACTCTGTATCTGGCAAAGCAGTCCAATTTTGGCATTATTTAATTTAAAATCGATTTTCCAAAAAGGTTTACCAGATTTGGACTCTTTGGTGATTATCAATTTCACATTACACTTGTGAGACTAGATTCAGAATCGCGAAAGTCCGAACTGTGAGGCCTTCTTTTCAAACCCTTTCCGAAAGGCAGGACGCAGAAAAAGGTGAGTCCACAGTGAGGCTTCCCAGCATTCACCTCAATTTGATCTCTACCGAGAAGCTAGATGATGAAGGCTGCAACAACAAATTTGGTGATAGAAAATAGAAGCTCACAAAGGGTTCTTTGGTGGTGGATAAGTGTAAGAAGACTCATACACTTTATTTGATGCAAGGAAAAATTTGTAAATGTAACACCCTAAAAAGAACCATCCTAGATCTTGTTCTCCTAGTCATTGCCATTACATAACACATACAATATAAAAACATACATAATATTAAGATTATAGCATTCTTTACATTTCTTTCTTTTTGAACTATTTTCCAAAAATTTACAATGTCATCTTCATACATACATAACACAACAAACAACTCAAAGAGTGAAAAACATCTATAACAACTAAATCCCAGGTCTGCTTCCTTTCAAAATGTGTCCCATAGTACAACAACTCCAACACAAATATACAATTGCAAAACAGTTTCAAAACCCAAGACCAGTAGGGTTTCAAAAGAATTGTATCCTAGTTCCAAAAGGTTTCTTGATATCAAAATCATCCATTGGTAGACACTTCATCTTCATTTCCTGAAATTTGTTAACTTTGGAGTAGGCATAAGCTCAGTAGGTGATGAATTTAACAAGTTATATAGCCAATTAAATAACCCATGACCATGCAATGCACCATTTGAAATACATAAATGAAGTAGCATATAAGTGTCTTTGTATGTGAGTGAAAATATGCAATGCATGAAATTGTTCCATCTCTTCACAATATCCTCAGATGGTAAACATACTATGATGTCCCAAGTAAAAGCCGAAATTCAAAGCATACATACATAGATATAGATTTACATACTGAAAATAGTCCCACATTTGCCGACTCTAGAAACGATGGGCGTGATGGGTACCCAAAAACATATACCCTTCCATATTTGTTGGCTCCATAAATAGCGGGGACGTGGACACCCAAAAATCATGTTTTTCCACATTTGCCGCCTCTAGAAACGGCGAGCTCGTGGACACCTAAAAACATTTTCTCACATTCGTCTGGCCGTATGTGTAGATAGGGCAATTGGGCACCTTGACTTCCTGTGCGGGTACCAATTACATTACCCAACTCAAACCCAACCCGACTCACTGCCCGGGCACATAGTGTAACAACCCTAAAATTTAAGTTGTTAAGAAAAATCTTAAATATTTTGTAAGAGTAAAATAAAATATTGAATGTTATCGGCGTATGAGATAAAGTGTAATTAAATTAGAGATTATATATTATCAGAAGAAAAAAGGATATATAATTAGTTTAAGATTTGGACCAAAATAGAATTGAATCTAAAGGTAAGCAATTGAGATAAGCTTGAATTAATGGCATATCAATGGGAATGAGACACGTGGGCAGCCGTGTGGCTTGGTGCCCACGGTCCTCTTTCTATATAAAGGAGGAGGGAGTTGCTCGGGATGGGAAAAAGAAAGGGAAAGAAAGGAAAACATAAACAACGAAAGGGAAAGAAAATACTAGAAGTCAAGAAAGTCTTTGATAATGGAAAGAAAGAGTAAGGTATCAATTTTAAGGTGAGTTATATTATACCTTGAGTCACCATCATATATTTTATGTATATTTTGAGTTACCATAACTTATTTTACACAATTTGTGTTTTATATATTATATTAACATTTTTCATTATGTTATTTATTTATGAACTTTATTTGATATACTAAGGAAAACTCATGGATATAATTGTTTATTAAAATGTGTTTTGAATAATTATTTTATAAGTACCACTGCGGAGGTCCCATGCCTTGGGGGACTTAAATAACCATTAGCCCTCTGATTAGTCACTTGGTAACCCTCTGTCTGTCATGTATCCATTGACACTCTAATTTCTGGTGTAGAGCAAAGTGTTGTACGAAGCCTACAACTCCTGGTGGCCAGCCGGCCACCAGCGTCTTTTTTCAGATATTTTGTTGACAGCTATTCCAGCTATTGGCACAATTGGTCTCATCTCCATACACGTGTATGGATGGATTTTTCTCAGCCAAATGCTTGTTTATCTATATATTAAATGTTAGAAATTTTGGAACAAAAATCTCTCTCTCTCTTGCAAATTTGTACACACTTGCCTAGTTACACTACATTTTTTGCATACACTACCTTAACCAAAGTTGATCATCTTTGAGCTGAGGTTCCTTGAAGCCTTCTTGGAGCTCTTGAAAGTGGTTTTGTCTTGAGTTAGTGCCTAAGATTGAGCTTTGCTTCAAAAGGTATAACATTTGCCTCTTTACTTTGCTTTAGTATACTCGTTTCCCAATCTTTTCAAACTGTTTTTGGGCTGTTTTTGAACTGTAAAAATCTCTGTTCTTGTGGGCTGAAATTGTTGTTTTAGACCATTTAAAGTTAGGGGGGTGTCTCACCCTTCTTTATTCCTTGCTTTTAAGGCTTTTTCACCTTTGTTTCCCACTTTCAAACTATATTTCTTGGGCTTTTTGGAACTAAATTTCAGAGTATTTTCAGTGGAAAAAATTATGTTTTAAAGTCTAAAATTAGAGGGGTTAGCCTCCCCTCCTTGTGTCTTGTTTGCTTGCCTAGTTAGCTCCATTTGTTAGCTTAATTTTCTAGCTTTTTGTAGCTTAATTTCAGCATGTTTTAGGCTTTATTGTAGACTGTTTCAACTCTATTTTTGGTTGTTTAGTGCATTTGAGTCTTGTTTTGCATGTCTCTAGTTTAATAGTTCTCACAAGCTTGGTGTTTTAGGCCATTAGGCACCACTTGTTTGAGTTGATTGCATGTTTTGGTGCTTTTTCTCACTTCATTTCAGCACCTATAATCTCTGCAATCTCCCTAATTTTTTCACTCTTGATTTGCTTTGAGGGTTGTTTCAACCTTAGGATAGTTTAAACTTGAGATTGAGGTTCATTACTTAATGGTTTAATCCTCTTTTGAGGGGTTCATTATCAACGGCATGACATCTCTCTCTTGCCTTAAACTACCCCTTGTTTGACACTTCCTTCCCTTTAGAGGACTTCTCACCAATGGACTTACTTGGTTAAAGAATGGAAAGGTAATTAAAATGGATAAACAAGTTGAAACTAAAAGTGTGCAAGATAAGAAATTGGCTTTATTTTGATGTGTTCAATTGGACGTTAATTAAACACAAGGAAAATTGGGGCATTTCATACTCAAAGTGATGAAATGTGCAAAGTTTCCTTAGTCTCCATTGCCCTTGATCATGCATGATAGGGTGATGATCTTGAGTCTTATTTGTGCATCTATTAACTTGTACACCTTGGTTCTTTCGCCATCATGCACTGAAATTACTTGATTGATGGTTTTAGAACCAAGTGTATCGCTCCTTTGAGATGTTTGATGATAAGGAGGGATACACAGTACATAACACTTGTGAGAATGCTCTCTCTTTTCCCTGTTTTCTCTTTGTTGCAGCAAGAAAAGATGAGTCATCAGTGGCCGGCCGGCCACTGTTACTGGCTGGTAGACCATCAGTGTTGAACGGCAACCCCTCAGTGGTGGCCGGTTGATCACCACTTTTGGCCTGCCAGCCACCAATGAATTTTGGGCAGTGTGCTTGTGAAGCATGACAGAGTTGATTTGGAGAAGGAAACAGTGCAAGGGTTGTGCAAATAGAGGCATTCGAGGCAGACAGCAGATATTCTTCGGGTGGAAACCAAGCACTCATGGGTGTCCCTCGTTTCCCGGGACTATTAGCTAGTTAATTCGTTTAAATTAGCATTTAATTATGCGTTTGTTGTAAATTAATTACACTACTAAAAATCGAGCCTTTTGTGACGGTCTCAAACGTAAAAAAAGGTCCACTTTTCGTCGCAAAAGACTTTTTGCGATGGAGTAGCGACGGGAAATGGGGGGTGGCGGAAGGGGGCGTGACAAAAAGTATTTGCGATGGTTACAAACCGTCACTTTCTTGTAGCAACGGCTAATTAATGGTTTTTGCGACGGTTTAACTTGACACAAAAAAAGAGAAAAAAACTTCACTTTTAGTGACGATATTGGTTGTTGTCGCCAAAACTTTTTTAGCGATGGTATTTGACATCGCGAAAAGTGTTATTAGCAACGGTTTAAAACGTCACAAAAAAAGTAGAATTAAATTAATATCGTATTTACGACAATTTAAACCGTCACTAAAAATTTGAACTAATATGCATATGCAACAGGTTAACCCATCACTAATAAAATGTAAGAAAATTATTATTACATTAGCGGTGATTTATTATTGTCACAATAAAATTATTTTCATAAAATCAATATATATTTTATTAATTCATTCCATGTAAAAATTATTAATATTTTGTAAAATAAAATACATCCACATCCACATCCACATTCCACAAAATCATACCAAGAATAATATATATGTACCTTATAACAATTGTCAAACAAATATTCTTTATAAAAATATGTAAAACATTCTCCAATAATACTAATAATTTTTTATATTCAAGAACTCAAATTTTTGTATCTAAAACAAAACAAAAGTATTGACAATACAAATAAAAAAAACATATATATTACAGCTTGTTTTGATATCAATAGTAAGCTCCAATATCGATATGCAAAAATATCATCATGTACTCAAAAGGGTTGCATCTGCAAAAAAGAAACCCAAAAAAAATAAAAATAAAAATAATTTACAATGTAAAACATTTGATATATATTTTAACAAATAAATAAATAAATAAGATTGTAAACTCTAATATCGATATGCAAAGATATCATTACGTACTCAAAAGGGTTGCATCTGCAAAAAGAAAAAAAAATAATAATCATTTATAGTTAAAAAATGGTTACCTATGCTAATGTCTGATTCTAATGTAATAGGTTCTTCAGGAGCCTATTGAAAATCAAGGCTTGCATTAAACAAGATGGGTGACAAGTAGCAGCCTAGTAAGGTTGAAGATGACTCACTATTTGATGCAGGTGCTATTTGGAAAAAAAACTATCTAATCAAAGTATGACTATGTATATCTCTTTTTGCCTTCATTTTACCTTGACTAGTTAGACCCCACGAGCTGCGCGTGTGGGGGTCGTGAGACTTGGGTAAATTTATTTGCTATTTTGGTAAAGAATCAACAATCTACTTTTTCTTTTCAAAATTTACATTAGGGCACATGATAAAAATAATGTAATCAAACCATGTGCTTATTATGTATGCATAGGTAGCAATCTAAGCAAGAATTGAAGTACCTTTTGAATAGGAGGGAGATGACCGACTGAGTGATTAAAGCAATGATTGGTAGAAATGCCATTATCACTTTGTTTAGCTAGTACAAAAATTAAATCCATTACCTAAACAACCAAGGTTAAACAAATCAATCTTGACATAAATTATAGCTCGTAACCTGACATTTTAAGATTGGTGTTTTTGGTGGGAAACTAAATACAAAGCGACTAAACACTAATTTAACCAAATGCCAACTACTCACAAAAGCCCAACAAACAAAGAACCCTACATTTTTCGACCCAAAACAAATTCAATACAAAACAATCTTAAAATTAAAATCTAAGTCCATTCTTATCAAATTGGTTTAATAGTGTCAACAAATATGAAGAAAAAGAAAAATTAAAATACACAACTCACATTAGAGAACGTTAAGAATGAACCATGTCACTTGTGGCCACTACCGACTGTTATCTAAAAAAACTGTGTTATAAGCAACGCCTCCTCTCTCAAGCCATGAGTTCTCTACCACCAATTGTCAACTGTTGAAGAACGATTCTTGTAGTGTAAACCTAAAATTATAACCCCAACTAACCAAAATTTAATCATCATCATGAATATTTTTAACTACAAACAGCAAGAGGAGAAAGACAGGTAGGGAAAAATTGAAGAAATAAATGAATTTAGATTATTGTGTTCCTCATTGACAGCATATTTAATAGCATAATAAAAAGCACTAAATAACTAAAGCTACCAAACATATGTAATTGTGTTTTCTGGTATTGAATTTCACAAAACAACCTCTATAGATCTTTTCACCTAATTCCACTATAATTCAATCCCTTCATAGTCATCAAATGCTCTAAAACTACACAAAGAACAAACCAAAATAATTTTTTATTTTATTTTTATAAAGTTAGGAAAATATTACGCACAATGAAAGTTCAAAACAATATGAGGAAATGAGGTTCACACAGTGTCTTTAAAAGCTCCTTTGCCACGAATTTCATTGTACTGCCAAAAAATAGCAACATGTAACACGAAAAAAACTTGAATTGTAATGAACCAGATAAAGAGAAAGCAAGATCGAAAAAGTAATAAAATAAGGCGGAATCTTAACACAAAAGTAAAATCATGAAACAATGTTGAACAAGTTGATTGTACTGCTATCGTGCATGGAAGTCAAATATGTACAAATGAACTCTAAGAGATTAGATTAAAGGGAGAAACAATCATAATAAAATCATGAAACTTGATTGTAAGCATCTGTAAAGTTAAATAAAATAAATTCACACAATGGTCAGTTCAACTCCTCTCAAATCCGAATGCAGTTCAATTTTAGTTTGAAATCAAGAACTCCAGGCCCAAAAGCTGAAACTCACAGTGATGGAAAGAAACCCACCCAAAGGACTCCTTTTCACAGTTAGATATTCCTAAATTTTCACTCTACTCGGCCTAAACACAACAAGGACGAATGCAATTGATTCAAGAAATTAAAAAACTAAAAACTAAGAATAATAAGCTTCGTGCCTCTAAGTTGAAGCAAATGCAAAAACTGATCTACGAGAGAGCAATATAAGACATCAAAGCATACCAGAGCAATTCACTTTTTAAACAAAAATGGATGTTTTTGAAGTTTTCATTGTTTGTTTCCAAAAACATGAAAAATGAGAATAAAACCAAACATGTTGCTCTGTTTGGTTGAGCTTTCGGATCTAGTTTTCCCATTTTTTTTCAAAAACTAGTTTTGGTGAAAGAAAAAAAAAATGTAAACACTCAGTCTTTTTATATAGTTTTCTCAGGAAATAACTTTTAAAAATTAAAAAAGATCTCTTTTGATGTTAATTTTTGCCAAACTATATTCTAATTTTTCAAAACAAATTCAGAAAACAAGTTCTGAATTTTAGAAAGGTAAAGCCCCTAAATTTTAGAAACCGATCCTTAGTCAAAGCCCCCAATTTTCTTCCATGAACGAGATACCCCAAAAAAAAAAACACAGCACAAGCATTAAAACAAAGGGTAAAGCAATGAATCCATGGAAACCATAGTGAGAAACATCAAAGCCCACAAATGTAATTAAAAACCCTAGAACCCCCTTAAGCAATTATAGACAAGTAGTTAGTCAAATCCAAATTCCACAACCGCACAAAACTTGAACCAAAATTAAATAAACCCAAATCCCATCTTCAGTAACAGTTGAATAACAACAACAAATCAATTGAAACAAAAAACAACCCATACCCTCCACCACCACCTCCACCTCCCCCAACACAGTCCCGCCATCTCTTGGCAACCAAAAACACCATTCCCTATCACAGCCCTGCTATCTCTACTACTGAAATCCTCTTCATCGGCTAACGTCTCTACCACGAAAACCACCCTTACCCTCCTCCTCCTCCTCCTCCTCCTCCCGTACCAATGACCCATATCCATCTACCCCACCCTCCAATACCGAAACCCCCTCTCCCTTCCCTACCATAGATCCGCTATCCTCCTCCCCACCACAAGACTGCCACATCCCCGCCACTGAAATCTCCCTCCCGGGGCGCCTTCACAAACATAAACCAAAAAAAGGAAGATAGAGCGGTAGAGAGAGAGTAGCCATAGAGACATACCTGTGAGGCAGAGAAACCGCTGCTTGGTGATGGATCTTGGAATGAGAACAATATGGGTAGGGTTTTACTTGAAGTCTATGCCAAAACGACATAGTTTTGGACTGCATAAAAAATATCTCTAACTTAATACTAAAACACCGGAAAAAATAATATTTAGTTATCGTGTTTTAAAACAATATCATAAATTATGGAGTTTGTTGAAAAATGTCAAGAATAATTTTGTTTTTGTAGAGTTTTTCAGAAACGTTGAAAAAAAAAATGCCGAGAAAAGTCTTTTTTGTTATAGTGAGTTTGTTGAATCATAAAATTATACTTTGGGTTTTGTTTATTTTTCAGGAAACATTAGAATGAAAGAGGAAAAAAAATTAGTTTCTTGAACAAAAAAAATCAGTTTGTTGAACCCGGAAAAAAAAAAATTTCTTTTGCCTAGCCAAAAAAGAAAAGAAAAGAAAAAAAACAAAAGCACATACACATTTTACATAAAAATATATGGCGGGTAATGTACAAAAATAAAACCTTTTGTGACGGACTAACAAATGGCGTCACAAAAATAAAACTTTTTGCGATGGACTAAAAAACAACGTCGCAAAAAATACAAAAATCGTAAGACGAAAAAAGAAATTTACGACGGGCAATGTACCGTCGCGTATAATATTACTTTTTGCCACTGTTTTGAATTTTCCATCACTAATAATGGTATTTATTTGGTCCCTTTTTGCAACAGTCAATTGGCGTCGCAAAAAAAATCCTTTTGCGACGGTATTTTTTGTTGTCGCAAAAACTTACTTTTTGTGACGATTTTCAAGCCGTCGCAAAAAGTTCTGTGGCTAAAACCCCCTTTTCTAGTTGTAATTAGTTGTAGCTAATTAGTTTGTGTTGTAATATTTAAATTAGCTTAATTAGTTATAACGAATTAGTTTACTCATTTAATTAGTTTAGATTAATTAAATTGGTTAAATTGGTTTGGTTTGTAATATTTAATTAGTTTAGCCTAGTTAAGTTCTTAATTAATTAGCTTAGATATTTAGTTAATTATTCGTTCAAGTTTGTAATAATTAGCTTAGCTTAGTTAGCTAGTTAGCTTATTTATTCGGACTCTCATTCATGAGAGCGTGTTGCAATAATGTGTATGTCTTCCAACCCCATGTCTTTCTCCCTTTTATTTATCCGCTTTTGATGGTTAGATTAGGGACATGTTTCAATTAGCATACTTTATGCTTACATCCATTCATCTTATATTGCATGCACCGAGACTCGGTGCATCATTCTAACTGCATTGTTATTTCAATACTTCGTTGAATATGTGCTTAGACCGCATGTCTTGAATTGAGTCATATGCCAAATTCGTATCCGAGCCTATTAATTGCATCATTTGCATGTGTTGCATTAGTCATTTAGCATAGTTAGGAATCACGCATTTTTCTAACTTTTGTTTATTTTGGCTTGGAGTACTAGGTGAGTTTTTAATACTGTAGTATACTTGCATGAGTGTGAGTGATTGCCATGAGGCTAAGTGCTTACTTGTTAAACTGCTTGAATGCCTGTGGATCAAGTCTTGTTGTTTGAATTAGAATAATTCAATAAATGTACGTTTAAGCCCACTATGTCTAGTGGCAAAACCACAACTTTAAACTCACTTTGTTGAGTGGCAAAATCAAATCCTTTTTCACAAAACAAACATGAAATTGAGTTGTTCCAATTCGGGCAAACTAGTCTATACTTGCTTGTACGCGTCACATAGTAATGCTAACTTAAATAACTGGAACAAGAGCATATAATGTATATAAAAATCATATCATGATTAGTAGAGGCCGATCTTTGATCGGGCGAGTGGGGGTGCTCAATTCATGACCTTCCCCTCTCGTACCTAAGTTCTCGAGCCGAGGCAACTTTGGTGATGACAGACACGTGGCCTTTGGCACAAGTCATGGGTTTCCTAAATTTTTCCAAAATAAAATATTTAGGTGGCGACTCTATATCTGGCAAAGTAGTCCAATTTTGGCATTTTTGATTCAAAATCAATTTTTCAAAAGATTTGTCAGATTTGGACTCTTTGGTGTTTATCAATTTCACATTACACTTATGAGATTAGATTCAGAACCGCAGGAGTCTGAATTGTAGGGCTTTCTTCCGAGCTTCTGAAAGGGGGTGCAAAAAAGCCGAGCTACACTTGGGCGCAAAGCGAGAGAGACTAGTGAATGTGGCTTCAAACTCGGCCACCGGTGTATTAAGTTGTAACATCTCTTCAAACTGTTTACTTAGTCTCTCCCTAGCAGTGGGAGAGAGAAACTTTTCTTGGAAAGCGTGCACAAATGCCTCCCATGTGTGGTTAACTCAATTCTTGACATACTTCCACCATTGTCCAGCCTCTCAATTCAATTGGTAAGCCGCTAATGCTCCCCATAATTCATTCTCATGGATGTCCAAAATCTTGAAAGATTTAACAATTTGTTCCAACAATTCGTTTGCCTTCATCAGGTCGGGCCCACTACTGAACTTGGCAGGGTTTGAATGAAAGAACTCATTTTTCAAAAAGGAAGCTCTAGTTTCCCTTCAACTATCCTAGCCGCTTGCTTGGCTTTCAATATCTCCATGGACTTCCAAAGAGCCCCCACCATCTCTCTGGCCAAGACCCCCATTGTATCTTGGGCCGGTATGGCGGGTATAGTGTTTTCACCCACTCATTCTTCTTGCGGAGGGATCTCAGGTTAGGCCGGAACATTTTGGACTCCCCGACTAGGTCTACCGCAGCCTCTAACATGCCCAAACATCTTATAAGAAAGAGAGACAACATTATGTTCAAAACCAACATTTCGCACCTATGTGCCCCATTCAAGATCGTCATACCATACGCACGATCTAAACACATAGTTATAGTCATGTAAGGCAATCCACATAAGCTCACAACCATATAAAGCACATACGAGTCACCCTCCTAGGATACTAGCTACTTCCATAGCAATCAAGGACCTCTAGATGGAAAGAGCATTGATCAAATGCCTTTCTAAAAGGATCTCGATGAATGCAACGGATAAAACTTATATCAGAGAAGTTTAACTCCATACTCATATAACCACATAATCACACAAAACACACAAGGCATATAAGCGTACCATCTTAGCCTAGGGAACCCGTTGTGACAAATGTCACTTCCCACGAGCCTAAGGAATTCAAACCTAGCACTCTGATACCAATTTGTGGCGCCTTGCCATTACATCACACAAGCATAGCAAGAGACCAAACATCATCTTTCTCATTGAACTAAGATTTAGGAAATTACAATTTCAAAGTTATATTTCCAAGATACATTAGATTTCCTTTCTAAGTTCAATGAACTAGATGACCAAAACAAAAGAGGAAATCCCCCATGGGCATATAAGACACCACAAAATAAATATACAAGTCTTGGTACAAAACTCTAAGTCTTGACAGCAAAATATCCTCGAGCTATCCACCCAAACCAAGTGTTTGCATACTATAAGTAGTACATTATCATGTCCTGAAAATTTAAATATGGTTGAGCTATATGCCTAGTAAGAATACATTTAACCAAGTATTTAATCATTTGAATGAACCCATGGCACCATTGCGACGAGATACGGTGAGAAGTTAATATACACATACAAATATAATTTGTTGTGTAACAATGTTGACAATTGAATAATCACATTTCCATCTCACACTAACCATCAACAAATCGGAAAGGAAAGTATACATGAGTCCCGTATAAGAGTCTGAATCAAAACACAAGTCATTTTTATTTTTTTTTACAAACTAATAAACATCCCCCACATTTACCGACTGTCATACGGCAGGACATGGGCACCCAAAAACAGTTAATACAATCTCCACATTTACCGACTATTATACGGCAGGACGTGGGCACCCAAAATCATCAGTTTTTCCACTTTTACCGACTACAATACAGCAAGACCAATGGACACCCAAAAAAAAAATATTTTCCCACATTCGTCCGCGCGACAAGCTCAAGACAGAGCAATTGGGCACCTTGACTCTCCGCACGGGTACCAACACAACACCACCACATTAAAATTGACTCTTAACCGGGACTCATGCACAATTCACCAAACTTTCATTCGATCAGCAAGTATTCAGCATTGTATGAGATATAATACACATAAGACATACAAGAAGAATCAATTCTCAGGCCTCAATTCCAATACCATAGCATTGTTCATATACTTTATCTCTTCATCATTCACAACATCTCAAGAATTCAAGAAAATCCCAATCTTATTACCAATTTCTTCTCCATTTAGAAACTAGGGTTTTATCAAATTTGGGGCTTTCTCCCCATTTTCATATATATGTATCTCTTTAACATTTATATACATATTTAGAGAAAAGATTTGGGAAAAATTTATAATAAAAGTGAAGTAATATGTTTCCCCCATTTTGTTTTTTTTTTTTTTAATGTAAAACAAAGGTTTATCCAACCCAATCATCAAATTAGCTCTCAATTCACAATAATATCATAGATACGTCACCAAAATAAAGAAATACAGATTAAATGTAACTCTACCTCAAGTTAAGAGCACTAGATCCAAGCTTCAAGATGAACTCTTCACCAAACACAAATCCAATCGGTAGGAAGGAGGTTCTTCACGTGTACTTCATCCTTTGCAAGTGATTTAGGTTGGATATTAGGGGGAAAAGAAGTATTTTGGGGTTTAGGGTTTTCAAACTTAGGGTGAGAGGGATGAAGAGAGAAAAAAAATGGAAAGAATGATCTAGAGTGTACTTTTTAAACTGTTGGATTCGCGTAGACCGCTCAAGCGTGACTTCCTTCGCTCAAGCGGATGGCACAGCTAAGAGGGGATGACTCGAGCGACAATTCCACCACTTGAGCAAAAAATGGAAAGTCCCAAAAGTTTTATAGAGCTACAGTGAAACTGCTGGGATCTCACATTCTACGCTCGAGTGTCCTTGCGTACAAACCTACGAGATACTGGGAGCAACTAGGGGTGAGCAGCGGATATACCGATCCGCCCAAAC